ACAGTCATCAGTAACTATGTGGGGAAATGAAGGGCTTCAAAAAGTGCAATTTTGTGGCAGTACAAAACAATTCAGACCTGTTATTGTTAGATAACTGAAAGATAAATTTCAAAGTTAATATTTATAGTGTCTGAAAACACGCTTTGTGGATTATTGGCTGTGTAGGATGCTGTATCCTGTATTTATATTGATTTGCAAGAGCACTGGTGCTGCAAGCAGACCTAGCAGTCATGTATTCCAGTTTCCTAAAATAACCCTGTGTCCTAATTTTTCAAGAGGTGGGAGGGAAGAAATTTATATTAGAGGGTCTCAATTAGAAAATGTAAAATTATGTTTAAATAGAATTCCCTTTCACAATTTCCCATTAATTTTACTATTTTGTTGAGCTGTAGTTAGCTATTTTAATTAATATTATTTTCAAAATAAAAATGCCTCTTGACTTTATTTTTTGATATATGAAATTACACATTCATAGTGTTTACTTCTAAAATAAAATATTATGTGAATGTGGTGATGATAAACACAAAAAAATTTTCAACTTCTGTGTATCCATCAGAATGAGGAATTAGTATTTGTCACTGAGAAAGAAAGTGTTTTAGATTTAAATGTGAGTCATTTTGTGTTTGGAATATGGTTTTCTTTTTAGGATGTCTCAAATGGGAAGATGGTTAATATCAAATTTTGCCCGCTTCCCTTCATACTTCGCTTTCTTTTTTTTTAAGTTGAGGCATGCTACAGGTACTTTAAGCTAAAGAACATAAAATTAGGATTAAGGCAATGCTTTTATCCACCAATGGTGGGTGTGAATATGTTGGGAAAAGAAGAAATGACAGCAGTAGGTGCTCTGCCACCTCCTCATCTCTTTTGGTCATTGTGCTGTATCTTCTGTGACATTTAGGGCTCAGCTCCATCCCTTGGCTAGAGATTGCATTAAATCCTGAACTAAAAAAATAGAGTTATAACTTCAATAATGGTACCTGTACATCAACTAATATTTTGTTGTGATGCTTATCTCTTATTGCATTTGGTTGGTAAAGTTCTTTAAAGCTTCCTCTGATGTAAAGGAGAGTAAATTTGGAACCGGCCTCAGTGTTTCTGTTCACCTTCAGAACCTTGACGTGTTGGCAGATTTACTATCAACGTATAAAAACTAATGAACCACTTTAAGCCCTGTCATAAAACTGGAATTCTTTTGTACTTAATTAGATGGCCTGGAAGAGAGGAAATTGGATCCAAACCCTATAAAATTAGCTTCATCAAAAGAAAGTGGAAACAGATGAGCAACCCACAGTAATTCTACAAGAATGATGCCACAATCCTTACAACCCTGTCTTGGCTTACTTGGGTTGCTTACTCAAGGCCCTGTTTAAGTCTTTCCCAACATAATTAATTTGTATATTATGGATGGAACTGGTGGTGATGCTTGTGGTCAGGATCGTGTTATGCTCATAGCCTCGTCAGAGAGTAATTTTTTGGACAGATACTTTTCCCCCCTTTCCCAAGGTGTTTTCTTCAAAAATTATTTTATTTTTGAGAACAAGGTTGATCAAACCCAACCTTTTGTACCTTTTGTACATTTTAAAATATCATTGGTAACAAGTTGCAGAGAAATTTGGGATGTTAATAATTTGGAGCAGAGTTTGAAATTGGACAGGGAATCAGGAATGTGACATTTGCTGAAAATAGCCCGATTTTAACCAACTTACAAGGTTTCAAAAATTGCAGTTTGCACACGTGCAGTAAAGGTGTGTTAGATGGGCAGCTTAAATCTTTTAAGTCTTTTCATCTGTACTGGGCGTGTTCGAGGCTGTAGCTGCAGAACCTGAGCAGGAGTTTCCCTCAATCAGTCCCAGATGGTGGGAACTGAGGATGAGAAGCTTCCTGTCCACGTTCCTGGTACAAGTGCCTTGGCATCACAGGGATGCCAGGGATGACTGACTTGAAGTGGATGACTTTGGACTATCAAGTTTGGCAAGTTCTAGCTTAATGTACATGCCTGTCAAAGCTCACAAAATGAAGCCAACCAAAAAAAAAAAAAAATGAAAATCCATTCTATAGGATGTTTTTGATAGCTCACAAAGTGCTATTAACAAAGAAATTACAACTTTGTGTTATTAGAACTCTCTAATTATGGTCTTTGTGGTTTAGTGACCTATTTGCAAAGTACTGAATGTTCCTAATGGCAACAGAGGCAACGGAAATGCTCCAGTGTAGTGTTTTATATGATAAGAGTTGCTCTCAAAAATCCAATGGGAGGCCTTCAAATTGGATCCACAAATTAAAAGGCATTTTTGATCACAACTTCTGCAGATGTCAGCTCCCCATTTTCAAACTGGCTCTGCTGTCCCCTTGCCTCCTGGTAGCTGTGAAACTACATTAGGGCTTGTGAAAACTATCTTATAAAATCCCATGAGCAAGTGAATAATTTTATCATCAAAGTTTGAATAGTGTTTAGCAAGTAGATTATGGAGCTGGTTACTAGTAAAAAAAAAATACTGAAAATACTTAATGGCTTCTAGCTTAATGAGAACAATCCATCTGTAAATGGAATTAGCCAATGATTCAGTGGGAAAACGTGACCATAACACTATTACAGCAATAAACACAGGTTTTATGCTGGGGCTTGATGGCTTTAGCATGATTGACGTTTGCCACTTCAGTATTCTTCCAGTATTCCTTTTTGAGTGATGATTTAATAACTATCAAAGTGAGACTTTGATTCTGTACATGGACTTGCTCTTGCATATTTATGAAGATATGCTTGCATATTTGTAAATTTGATTATTCACTTGAGGAGAACTCATGTGTATAAATGACTTGAACGGCATCGTCCACAAGCAATTTGTTAAAAAATAATCTACTCTAATTTCATCTCCTAGGAATATTTTTAGGGTCAAATATTATTTGTAGTCAAGAAATTAATGATTAAGCCTCTTAACATTCTGAACTTGTGTTTCCACTCCGGCTTTTTAGACAGTGCTAATGATGCTTGATATCAGTTCTTGGTCTTGCTCTCACCAGAGCCTTAAACATATTCCAAAGAATGAAAATGCCTTTTGGAAGCCTTCTTAATTCCTGCCTTAGTGAATGCAATGGACAGATGATGACGAACTGTAAATATGTTTTGAGCTCTCTGGGTGGCCCAAAGCAGATCTGTCCTGCTGAAAATGTCCTCTGCATATTGATTCCGTCGTGGGTGAAGAACTAATTTAAACACCTTCTTATTACCCTCTTAGCACTTTTATGGAGGCCATACATATGCACTATTTTCAGAGAAGGTGGTGTGGCAAAATTATTGCAGCAATCTTGGAACCCCCATCTGCTAGAATGTCCCTGGCCTCCCCTCCATAAAAATATCACTGCTGTTCGAGTCAGCACCTCTGTGTGTTTATTATCTTACCAGAACCTTGGAAATTGCTTTTGTTTCTAGTAGAAAAATCAGAATAGGAGAGGTAATAGGATAAGCCATAAATGGAAAAGCAATTTTGAGATAAATTTTAGATTAGAATCAATGAGACTGAAATTGTATTTTTCAAGAGTTTTGATTTCTTCCCTCAGAGCAACTCATCTTTCATTTTCTCCTATTTTCTTCTCTACTTTGTTTTTCTTGGGAAGACAATAAACTGAGTATCTTGAGGGTTCCCTTTCTTTACTTTTCTTATCCATTTTAATTTTTCTGAATATTAACAGTTCAGGAATGTTAGTGATTAAATGTGAAAGATTGATGCTTTTAGACTCTTCTTTGGTTTCAAAGGTTTTGAAGAATTAGAGTGAAAAATGAAAAGGGAAACTAATTACAGTGAAAAACACTGAATGATCTTAAACAAATATCATATGTTTTGGTTAAAGAATAAGAAAGAAGAGCCAAATAATTTGAAATGCTCCTTTTAAATAATATTCCTGGATCTTGAACAAGTGGAAGTATTTGCACTGAAACGAAGCACATAGTAAACAAAGAATAAAAAATAATGAGATGTACTTTAAAACTTTTCCCTGTTTATTTTTAATGAGATCCATCTGAATTTTTTTTTAAGGGGTAAAAAAATATTAAACCATCTAGGATAAAAACTGTGCATCCTTTTCAGTGTTTCTAGAGCCAAAATATACTTTGCTGAGTATAGTTCTATTAACATTTCTGTAAACCCAGTTATTTTGGGGTAGGTGCTAAGTGATGCAAGTAAAAATGTTTTGGCCAGTGTATTTATAATCTCCTAATTTTCCCTTTGCAGGCGTATCTCCAGGGAAGTGTGGTCATGACGACATTCATCCTTCTTAGGCTGCTAGAATTAAACCTGTCCATAAAATAGATGGGAAGGCACACTGAACCATTTCAAAAGATGGCAAAGTTCCCATGATAAATTAATGCCCAAATCAAACTGCCTGCTTTTAAGGACTCCACACTCTATGGCTCCTGCTCACTAACCATTAAATATATATGATGCCTTTAAATGCCCCAATAGAGCTAAAAACACATTCAGCCGAAATTTATTCTCTTTAATATTTATCTACATCTGGGTATTTGTACTGTCATATCCTTCTTAGGTATGAAAGTTTTATATTGTAGTTGTGAGGGAATGCCCACTATCATCACACTTATACCCATCCCTCCAAGCTACAATACATTATTTCTTACCAGCTCTGTCTCATGGAGCAGTTTCTCATAATTGCGACCTAAAAGTTTAATGTGACAGAAGTAAGGATGAATGGGAAAAGATCTAAGTGTGGAGCGTAAATTAGCTTGAAAAAGGTGACAATGGCTCTTGTCCTGATCCCTCCATGTGGTCTCTTGATCCTACAGAAAAAATTCTGGGAACACAATGAATTAAGTCTTGTCCTTGGTTTCCATCTCTTCTGTTGGATACTGGGGGGGTGGTTTTTGTTTGTTGTTTAAGATTAAGAATATGGCATTCAGAGAAAAAGGACAACTTGTTAATGGCTCAACCCTACTGAGCTGTTCATTTAAAGAGATAGAGTTTTTCTTTATTTTATATATTTCACAGAATATCCTGAGTTGGAAGGGACCCACAAGGATCATTGGGTCCAGCTCTTAAGTGAATGGCCCATACAGGGGTTGAACCTTAAGAAAATAAAGAAAACTTAAGATTTAAGAAAACCTTTTCTTGCAGGTCAACAATTACTTTCAAGTTGTTAGTTTATGTTTTCATAAACTTTTTCCTTTCTAAGTTCAGTAATTTTCTGCATAATAAGGTCTGATTCTAAGCAAATTGAAACAGCTTTTGGGGTTTTGTGTGTGTGTGTAATGCCACTTACTTGCCTAACCCTGTCATTCATTATGAATAATGCATTCCTAAAAAAATGGCTTTATTACAGTGAGGGTACAGCAGTTTTTTTAATAACCAACAGTTCCATTTTTTTATTTAAAAATGCAGGTTTTAGAGACTCCATTTAAGAAGATGGATACTGCAGTGCAGTTCAATTATGGATTTTGCCTTTATTGGTGAGTGAAAACCCCATTCCTTATGTGTGTAAGACAGCCTGCTTATAAATTCTCATATTGGTAACTAAGATACAGTACATGTATGTTTCTGTGAAATAATTCATTTATTGAGATTTCATAGATGTCCATGTAAACATGCAAATGAGAACAATTTGGAAGACTTTTTTGTTTTTCTAGTACCTCATATGCTATTTTGTATTTCTTTTGCCTTTATTCTGTCAGTATATTGTGACTGTGTTATTCCTCAGATTTTGGTGGAAAACATTCTGTTATTATCACTGTGGATCAGGAATACCATATGACCATAATTTTTAGGCTCTTTGCCATAGATCAAAACACATATTTGTTCAATATACTAGAATAACTGAAGTGCTGGTTTGGAGATATATGGATCCTAAAAAATTGTGATGTTTTGTTCTGGTTTGTTTTTTTTATTACTTTTATCTTACATTTCCTCAACTTTAATATTTTGGAAAATATAGAATAGTTTTATAGATGCATCTGAAATATCAAGAAGATCACTTTAAATTTAATAAAACTCTTCATAAAAATTAATTTTTCTTCTCTGGTAATATTAATCTTGGAGAGCATGTAATGCTGAAGCTGGGGCCTGCAATGATGACTCACTGCTCATACAGGTGTACACAGGGAACTCCCAATGGCAGCAATTAAATACATTCATAGAAATTACTACTTAAATTGTTTACTTTTTTCCTACCTGTGTTTGATAGCCAAGATATTAGGGTTTCTGAGCATGTAGCACCTTGTGCAGAAATTAAATAATTCAAATCAGGGAATATTTCCTGGTATGATGCACTTTACTAGTTTTCCCTGTGTGATCCAATACAGCAATTTGCTTTATACCTTTAAATTATTTTGGATCCAAACAGAAGTTGAAGGTGCTCAATAATCTCTCAACTTTTGAGTGTCTGACTTTGTTGTTATTAACCCAGGGCATTGAAGGTGGGTCTATATCTAACTTTTAATCAAAAACAAATCTGCTTCACCTTCACAGTGATAAGCTTATGTTTTGACTTTGTGTGAGCTCTGCAGTGATTTGTGAGTGATACACAAAATGAAAAACCCTTTTCCCAGAGAAAGGGCAGGAAGACTTCAGAGATTTGCTCAGTTTGTTAGATTTACTTGAATTTCAAACAGCCAGGAAGAATAACAACTGAGAAATCCTATTAAAAAGAGACTTCAGAAAATATTGAAATTAACATGTATTTAAGGCTCTGACTTAGCAGTTGGGGATATGCCTATTCATAATATAGATGTATAAATCTCCCTTCCTGCCCTACAACATCAATAAAAAATTGCATCCTGGTTCTAGGGCATCACCTGTATTCTGAGTTTCTCAGGTTATACAGTCATGCAAAATTAAATTTATGTACAAACATGTTCAAACCAAGGAGATACATCATTTGTCTCTTCCAGACACAATGTGAGATTCACTGTAGTAATAAATTGGCTTGATGAGCATGTGTGAGCCATCCTTTTTATGGTTATACAAGCCTGTCAGAAGTACAATGACAAACACCTCAAAAAGAGGTTTGTTCCAGCGAGTTTATTGCCCAAAGTATTTAGTCAGCATCCATTTTTTTCTCCCCTGTCACTATTTTAAGTACACAAGCAGCCAATAAAGCCTGTGGGAGATCCCTTCTTACACTAGGAGGAATCATATTGAAGCAATGACTGATTTCATCACTGAACTGTTCCATATAAACAAGTTTTAGCCAGTTTGTGCCTCATCTGAGGTGCGGGTAGGTTGATGTGAGGGTGGTATACCTGTGTGGGAAGTTCCTTCCTTTACAGTGGAGACATCAGTGAAAGATCACCATGAGTTTTGTTTGGAGAGGACTCAAGAACATTTTATCTTTGCTTGAGAAAACTGGGATCTTTTGCTCCAGAGCCAGTCTGTTTCTGGGACCTCTTTCAGGTGTGTTCCTGATTCCATGTGTTTTCTCGTGATCCCATGAGTGCTAGAAGGTAAGAAAGGAAGCCTCCAGGTTAATCTTATTTGCCCAGGCAGGAGTAAAATAGTTCTAGCTTGATTAATCATCACAGTTAGATCTTAATTAGGACACCCAGTCTCCTGTTCCTCTTGAGATTTTGGTAGCCTTTCCCCACCCTATTTCTGTGATTTCTTTCATCATGTGTTGTTGTTACACCCATTGCTTTCAAAGAATTTTTGTCTATGCGTGGAAAAGGAATACCCAGAACTGCAGATGATGAAGTATTTTGGATTTTTAATTCATTCATGGAGAGATCCATTTTAAAACTTCTCTTAAATTTGAGGAATACAGGTGCCTTTGGCAGCCCTATCAGTGCTTGTCTTCCACCTGTAGAAGATGTTTCAGTGTTGTCTTGTGCTGCTGCAGTGAATGTTTTGAGAGTCTTTCATTCTTGCTCCACCCCCTTGGTGGGATCTTATTTAAATGGTGGCCACCTCCCTGTTTCATCTTTCTGTGGCCTCCTGTTTTCTATTTCACCTGCGTAAATTACTTTTTTTGGTAACCCATTCTTTACTCAGAAGGGTTATATACTCATTGCTGAGGGTCTAAGAACTTTAAACTAGGTTCTGCTGAGAAAAGGCTCTACTTTAGACATGTTTACCCAGTTTACTTTTCACGTGTCTGAATGCTCCCAGCCTTCCTCCCCTAACCATTCCTGATCCCAGCAGAGACAGTGCTAAAGGTTCTGGGGGTTTTTCTTTTTTCTTTTTATTTTTTTAAGTGGGATTTTCCCATTCGAAATCCACTTGTGTTTTTAGTATCACAAGAAGAGCTGTTTTGGGGAAATTCCACACAGCTGTATAATGCAGTAATGCCTGAGCACCCTTTTAGCTGATCACTGAGGAAGTGTATCACACCTCCAGGTGCAAAGATGGAGGCAGAAGGATGGAGAAGGCTCAGGAGTTTCCCATGGAGCATTTTTGAGGACCATTTCTACTGCAAAGACTTGCCAGGTTCTGTTTGTGCTCTCACCAGGGACCTTGCCATAGCAGAGTTCTGTAAATAGAAAGAAGTTTTACACAGCCTGTACCAAGTGTTTGTACTTGGCAACAGTTGTTTATTAAAAGTTTAAAAAGGAAAAAAACCCACAAACCTGCTGAAAACAAACATTGAAATCAGAGTTTCTCACAGGTGATTTGAGAGTTCTGCCAGTTCCCAAGATACCTTAGAAAAAAACCCAACCCAATGGTTTTCTATCTATTTCAGAGAGAATTACCCAGGAAATTTAGATCCTTTTTAGGCAGTTATTAACAGCTGAAATTTAAAATTTATGTAATCATTAGTTTGAATTGCAAGTTAAGTTCACTAGACCTATTGTTTCCATTTGTAGTAGCAGTAGAGATGCCATCAGGTACTGAGGGTGACTTAGTTTTTGACCAGCTACAAAGGAGCACACACCATCACATAATGGCCTGCAAGGTCCCTTTTAGACCAAATGGGAGGGTTTGGGTATTTTTCAAATGGTCACTGCTTTCTCCTAACTGCTTATTTACTGGTTACTGATTGCTAAAGGAATATCAGGTCTGGGTATATAAAAGGTGGTATGAGGCTGAAATAACTTTGTTCTCAAAAAGTCCCTTTGGTTTTGATAATTTCATTACAGTAGCTAGTGTTACCTACTATAATTTTTTGGGGAAAAAATAGCTCTTAAATTGAAATAAACTTTCATCTGATTTTGTTTTTTTAAAGAAAAATTTCTGACTTTGCCACTACAGAAAATAGCTTGGAAATTAGAACTGAAAAAAAAAGAAATATTTTCAAAATTTATATCACAGTTTCAGAGGGGTTTTTTTCATATTCTATAATTGATAATTGCTGGAGGTGGCAAAACTGTGAGTCAAAGATATTAGCACAAAATGGTCAGTTTACAAAGGTGTACTGGCATTCATGGCTTAGCACATTTGTAGCTGACAAACTGTGCCTTCCTCCTGTGCAGTTTTCTCACAATTCCATCAGGAAAAGACCTGGATGTACCCACTTCCTCATTTTATTTCCAGGAGGGTTGACATAAAGTGGTCAGAGACAGAAAATCACAGGAGATGAAAGAGTTGAGGGTAGAGGTTTTAAAAGGTGTTTATGGGAGTAACTACTCAGTTCACATGGTTACATTAGCAAAAATAATTCATTTGCAAATTCTATTAGTGTCTCTTGAAGTTCTTAGCAAGGGAGATCAAGTGGTTTGACCTAAGGTGACAGCAGAAGTTCAGTAATTGAATCTGAATCTTCTTTACTGTCATCTAGCAGTTATCCTGGATGAGACAGTATTTATTGTTCTGCAGATTTAAGAGAAATTTAGAAATCGCCATTTTAAAATGTAATCCTGAAATTACTACTTAAAATGATTCTTCCAGTCCATGTAGGCTTATATGTCCAGTACTTCCTCTTGCACTATCTTTACACTGAATCACAGCTGCATTTTTGCCATTAGAACATTAAACAGGGCATTTCCCCTCAGTGCTGTTTATACCCATTTGTTTTGAGGTACCATCCTCCTACTGCAGAGTGTTATTTTGGCAATAAGTTACCAAAAAAAACCCCAGTTTTATTTTTTTTCCAAATGATTTTTATATGAATGTAATCTGCATTGCAAACCCACATTTCAAAGTAGTTTCTGCAAATATAACACTATAAAACAAAGCCTTCGTTTAAGTGAATACTTCATGTTGGGTTTTAGAGAGTTAAAATTTTTATCAAATCAATATATTTCCATTACAAACTACTGCATTTTGAAAACAACTTCCAAGGAATAAGAGGTGATGAAATCACACAATAAATAGCTATTCTGTATTCAATATCCATTAGCTGAGTACGTAATTTCAAATGTTCATTAGTCTCATGAAGCAGAGACCTTACCTCAGCAGGTTTTATAATTGAAGCTGTCTGTTGTGAGTGAAGGAAAGGGAGATTGCAGAACATCATATTAGATGGAGAATCTTGTAGCGTATCTTAAAGAACTAAGGGTCTGTTGAGGAGTTCTGTGGTCCC